TTGCTCTTGATCATGTACATCTGGTTGGAACTCCAGGTGTAAACGTTGCGGTACAGAATATCAGTGATATCGGTGTCAGCGCCGAGAGAACCCATCGCACAACCTCCACTCCAGTTGCAGTAGATGCTTTCCACTAGGATGTTGTTGGCAGGGCTCTGCGGGTTGTCAGTAACCCAGCTAGGAATGGTCATACCAGGTGGGCCTTACCTTGACTGTAACACATTCATCCTTGTTGGTCACCTCGACCTGGGAACATGAATCAGCACTAAAAGCTTTCCATTGTGGTATGGTGTGGAACATACGTCGTGAACCCAGATATTGCTACCCCACACATCAATCCCATCCAAGCCGCCCGAGTTACCACCCCGGATAGCCATGTTATACACTTCTCCATCGGAGCAGTCGTCCATGACGAAGTGGAAGGCTGGCGCGTCCACGAGAATGATATCATGCACCGCGAAATTGCTCACATCCTGGAGTCGCAAAATCCGTGGCCCATCAAGATCGCCCTCCCGGTGGTACACATATCCGAATCCCTGGACGGCACCAGAGGACGAGTTACTGTACAACTCAAAGTCGGAAGAATTCTCCACTAGAATCATATTACCTCCATCGGTGCCAGTACGGTAAATAGTACCGTCTAGGATGATGGCGGTCGCCTTGCCTCCTGACAGAGACACCCAGGTATCCATCGCATAGTCACCAGGAGGAATATAGATCAGACCTCCATCCGAGCACGCATCCCAAGCTTCTGAGAGGGGAGACCCAATGTCGGTGGAGTTGTCCGCCACAGCACCATAGTCCAGGATGTTACACGTCTTGGTCGCAGCCTTGGAGTGTGCTGAAGTGAGCGGACCGACGCTACCGGAGAGCTGGCCGTTGACCAGCAACGGGGCGAGGGCGAGAGCGAGGATGGAAAGAGCAGGCATGGTGAGAAGTTACTTTGCAAGTGTCTCTCTGCTTGGCCAGTGTCTCTCTGCTTGGTCTCAACCGATCGCAGCAATTGCCGCTGGCCTTTTATAAGCATCCAGTATGCCACATACCTCGTGGGCAGCTCCTCCCACCGGAGAATCCATAGCCGCCCCCATCACCTCAGCTCATATGAGGTGCCTTCAAGGATTGACACGACGGTGGGAGACGGCAGGGTTTCTCGATATTAATTCTGGATTCATTGTTTCGTCCCGTTGGATTCCCGTTCCTGGACCGATGCCGATCACTTTCTTCTCATGAATCAGAGGTCAAGCTTTAGCTCAGGCCTTTCAGAGCAATTCCTTATTCACGGAGAAATCGACTCAGGAGTAGGGACCCCGCCGGCTTCGAAACGAGCGCTGACGGGCGCTCGGCTACTTCGAAGGGGATATTGCAGCGATGATCATGTTGGAGCTGACAACTTAGCCCTTTAGCGGTTCGACAGGGTCGCTTGGCAATCCACGAGTCAGGGTCTACCGTTGGTGAGTCCTCATGATTGCAGGGACGTGCACACATCAGTCGACAAGGGGCCATGAATTTCGGATTCAAGCTTACGTACCTGCAGACCTTTGAAGCTTGTGTTCAATGGAAGATTAAACAGAGACAAGAAGTGCATCGGATGGGAGATGCCGTATCTGCTTACGTATGGTACCATATGTTACTTACTATATACCGTTATATACGCCACCATACGTAGTAAACCGGCTACTTGCAATACCACCTCTATGTAAGTACTCGTCTGATACAGACAACATGGTATCATGGAAATGGGTCTCTAGTGGATATCTCGGCAGTTCCGATCGCGAGCTTCCCCATAGTAAAACCACAGCCACAACACAACCTGAAAACGACCAATCTATCTCTTTGCCGAATTTTCTCCTATCCCCCTTTGGACCCTAGAATACGCGTGTTCAACCTCCTCCGGAATATCAACATGATCAATAAACCCCTTCCCCATGGGCCCATACCCATGCTCATCATCTCTCAGCCGTGGAATCTCACCCAGAACCAGACCCAAGAAGCGTGACATACTCCACAATGTCCCCGTCACCCCTGGCATACTACCATCATCATCATATGCCAACTCACCCTCCTCAAGCTTAACTCGAGGCACTATAATCGGCCAGCTGAGCAACTTCGGGGGGTTCGGCGCATACGCCTTTTCAAATGAGGCAACCGTCCGCCGAGCCATGGTCGGATCCTGCACAACAATCATAGATTTAGGTTCCGGGATACCGTTCCTTGCCAATAATGCCCGTGTTTCTAAGGCATTCTGTCCGCAATTCGTGGACTTATCTTCTAGTAGAACCGTGCAGCCGGAATTTTGAATCAAAGTGGCATCAAAGCACCGCGTGAAGATGGTATGCAATACGTGAGATTCCGGCTTGCCTGTGATTTCTGGGACGAGGTGTGCGTAGTCTGGGTGCCTCGATACGGCCTCGTAAAGATGAGGCGTGGAGTGGCCGATTCCACCACATAGAACGAGTGTTTTAGTTAATTGAGGGTTGCGCTCTAGGTGTTTGAAGACGGTTTCTGCGGGATAAAGCACAGCCGAGACACATATCACGATGCAGTCGGTATTGATTGGGGGGTGGGATGATGCTGGGATTTGTTCGTGGGCCAGGAATTGCGCTAGCAGATTGATGTCGTCCGGGTTGATGGATGAGGATGACATTGTTTTTGCTGCTGATTCACCGACTGACTAGCTTCATAGCTATAGCCGATTTATCTAGCTGTTGACTTTAGTTCAGTCTAGTTGCTTAGATTGCATATCGTGGTGTTTGAGGCAGATGAAAGGAATTGGAGATTAGTTAATTACGGTCACACCCTCTTCCTGGAACGATGATTGGTCCAGGTTCTTGCGGGGTATCAATACCCCGAGACCCCGATTTATCTTCTCTCCCATGTTCGCTGTTTATCAATTTCAAGAATTGCACGGCGTTTTCAGCGAGTATTGACCTGCTAAGTATGTGGGAGATGCCATAGAATTGGTATGTAGTATCCATGGTAATGTGGAAGATACGCCCATTGTAGGCATACATTTTACCTAAATATCTCTTCCTAATGTTGCGGACAAAAAAATATACCACTTGATGACAAAAACACGGTGTTTTCTTACCACTCATGTGAGCCACTTCCTGGTCAAACTCCAGATGGTACTTACTACTTACTACTCTTGAGCTGGTTGTTAGTTATCTGAACAGCGAGTGATTATCGCAGATGATAGTAACCGGAACCCCAGAAAGGAAAGTATAGAAACCTTCAGGAACATTCCTTCCCTTTCTTCTTTCTGCTGGATCCTCTAATCTAATTAAATTCATATGACTAGTTTACCACGGGGATTGCTTTAGGTCAATCTAGCATGAAATGGTGCTCTCCACTACTGTTCAGTTCTACCCATGGAATACTATCTGCTACCACAAAATTATTTCCACTACTGCCTCTATTAGGCGGGAGATGCCGAACAAACTGTTCGCTTTACTGATTAGATCGACTATAGTGATCTTCTGAATAAAATAGTATGGGGGCTATACTCTCGATGCCGACAGTTAAATAAGACACCTCGTGGCTCCTGCTTGACAATTTCCATTACACAAAGAGCCGTCCACGTGATACCATCGCTGACGGGGACAAACTCACATCACACAGAAAAGAAAGCACTTACACGCCCCTCAATCTTGCATGATCCACTTATTTACCTGTCCCAGGATGCAAGGCTACAATTTTTCTTTCGGGTAGACCAGATCAAGCACACACCAACACAAGACATACGCGATGTCTCAAAGATCATTGTCGATGCCGTCAACTGTCTCGAGGGTTCGCCGTGGTCTCGACAATCTGTTTGACAAAATCATGGAATTTAGAGGATGTGTGCCTACCGATGGTCATGTGGATATTCACAATCTAAAGTCTGTTGAACATGTAACTCGTTTTGACTTTGAGCAGTTGGACAATCCCCAGACTTGTTCTACAATCTTTCCTCCGGTCTTTTTTCGACCCATGGAGTCAACTCAATTACAGAAATCTTATCCTGAGGTACGCGGATTTGCAAACATTGATCAGTTCATCGGCAAAGTGTCGCCCAAAACCCGTTGTAGTCAGATAGCCAGCCTTATCCATGATCATGCGACCCGTGAGGCAATGCTTCATCAAAGGCTTGACTTCGTTCTGTAAGCTCCTTGGAAACAATCTTTCTTCATTGCAGATATACCTCCTCTGCTGACATATGAATACTAGGGCTCCCGATAGTACCTTTTACTTGGAAGAGGATCTCACATGTCCTTACGGTAAGGGACGTGATTGGTGGTATGTTCCTAGGGCTCTAGAGCCGGAACCAAGGCCAGTTGATGGGAAAGCCTATCCTCATCTTACTCTTCATCTCCTTGATATAAAGGAAGCTCGGGAAGACTCCCTACTCTTCTCTGAATTCAGTGCATTAGTTTTGCTATGCTAGGCCGCGCAAACCAGCGCAAGGTAGATTCAGAGACAGAGAAGTGGAGGCTTATGGAAAATGATGGTAAAGGGAAAGAAGAATATTCCTATCTCTTTCCTAATGAAGAGTACTTTCCTGTACTTATCTTCTCTTTTGTTCTTCCTCAACACGCAAGACCCCTTACTGCATGTATGGTCCAGGAAAAGCTGGTCATTAGACAGTCGAAACTTTACAGCTTTGAATGGAAGAAGAGCGCGCCAATTGATTTTTTTCTTCGCCTTTATCTGAGCCGTCCCTTGGAGACCCGGGGGTGAGTACGACTATGTCCTCCACCGCACTTTCCACACGCGTTTTTCCTTATGCAGTTTCTGCGTTTACTTGTGTGACGACAACAACCTACTACAGAGCACTCAATACTTCATGCTTTTTTGTTTTCTTATTTTTCCCCTTATACCAATGTCAAATACTTGGATTATCTTTTCTATGCAAAGTAGCATTCATTTTTATCACTATCGTAATTGCCTTTTGATTGCTTATATCATGCCTTTTACATGCTCCAACCACAAAGCCGAGTGGACAGCAGCGGCTAAGACATACAATGTCATCGGCTAAGACATTATTGACCTGGCCTGATCTGCGCTCAGGATCCAAAGTGAACAAAGAGCAGTACCTTTTGTACCGTGTCCTACTGCCCGACTACAAGGAGCCCGAATTTCTAAATCCTTTACGTTTTGGGATCCCTACGATTCTCATCACCCAAGCACAGAATGTGCTATATAAAATACAAACATATCAACTCTATATGAAAATGTTGGGGAATGACAACTGGACTGATCCAGTCATGGGGTCATCTGGATCAGTGAGGTTGCAGACGGATATTGGGAAGGGATGGCATAAGAACAAGAAAATGAAAATGCCAGGCGAAGACACAGTAATCTCTGTCTTTCTGGAACTTCTCAACTCCCTGACCTCCACAATTTTCGGAACCAACAGTCATTCTGGTTCGGGGGGTAAATTCCTTGTGTAATATGTTCCTCTCTTGCCCAGCAGTCCAAATTTAAACCTGCAACTGGTCTGTAAGTAGATTATAACCAGCTTCTTGGATCAATTTAGTGAGTTGCAGGAACTTCAAGCATCGTCTTATTACTGCAGATATGTCCGAGATAAATATCTGTTATACTAGTCTTTTTCATTTTACGTCTAGTACATTAGTCGTCACCAGCACCTTCTATCTAAGCATCAGATCAAACGACAGTAATGGATTTATGTCCGAATTATTCGTCAATAATTGAATAAAAGCGCTCAACAGTAGACGAGAGACATGGAAAAACACAATTCCCAACGATGAAGTGCAAAGGTTTGACTGCAGCAGGCACCGACCCTCGAATAATCAAAACATGTTCATGGTATACTCTCTTCCCATCTCTTCCAGCATCTTTTTTCAAACGACTCTAGTAGTGCAATTAAGTAGGGGATATATATATATCTAAACCAAAAAGCAAAAAGCTCACCGGCAATTATGGGTTGCCAACCCATAGGAGGCTACGAAAACCGCTTAGTGCGGTTTTTGCAGACGATTTCCAGCACGACGATGGCACGTTCTTGAGCCTACGTGCTACGTGTCAAGGGCCAGCTCGCCCCATGCCCGGAATCGTACCCAGGACTCCCGAGTGTCTCTGGTTCTACACGGCCTAAGGGACAGGCAGAACTACGGGCCTGGCTTTAAGCCACTCGGTTACCCTGGGTTTGGTTATTGATTACTTCCCAGAACTTCCCTTGTCTGTTCCATTTTCCTTTCTGAAAATAATAATTTGGGTGGACTTTTTACCCAGGTATCAATCCTGGCGGCCTGGTTTCCCTTGGGGGGCGTGAATTGGTGGGTGTGGTGGGATGCTGGTGGTGGTGAAGCTATTCGGGTCCTTCCCTTTCTGGTCTATATCATGTCTTCCGGCATCCGCACCCCATGAGGCTCTCACCATACTATTCCTTACTTTCTATAGATGATATTCATATCCCCCCTCTCCATCTTCGTAAACCATTCCTACTTTACCGAAAGCAACATACTGTTCACCACCGCAGACTAGCTGGTCTCCCGACCCACCGATTCTTACCAGTTCTTTCCCTGAGTCACTCTCCCCCATGAATCCTTATCAGTCAGTGAAGTGAATCCAGTGCGCTACCTTTTTGTTGACAACTTTTCCATGTATACTGAAGCCTATTGTAGTCCCCTTTTTGCTTCTTCCCTGTAGAGTCTAAGCAACAAGCACACCTTATCTCTATTAGTTCTAGCGAAGTTACTTTACGGAAAGTATGAACCTGCACCTATTCTCTTCAAAGAAGAAATCAACCTTTCTTATTCCCGCATATTTCTTGACTCTGGCTTAAACTCTTACTCTTATCTTTTCTTTGTACTTCTTCATACATATAGCCAACTGCACTTGCACCTTACGTCTATCATCTGAGGCTAGAACCTTACCTCCCCAGATGACTTTCCAGCATATCGAAAGTCACGCTCTCTTCTAGATAGTCTCATTCTTGAGGCTATCAGTGTGTCTCATAATTCACATAGACGGTTACACTAGACTAATTGGTGTGGCCCTACAACTCATGTTTGTCGGTAGCAAAATCACCTAATCTATAACACTACACTAGTCCCCTCCATACTTGTAAACACTTTGGCTTCCTGTCACCTGGAAGCCTTTGCAAAGGCAATATTGCCTGAATTGGCCGTGTGATCGCTAATGGATCAGTGCATTTCAAACACACGCTTGTGTATATGCACCTAGACCTACGGTTGGCAGCACAAAGTGAAGGCTTTCAATAACCTCGGAACACATGGACCTGGCGAGCTAACAAGTTTGAATTAATTAGGTATCCAAGCCATTCTATCCTACCGAAGTGCTCTGGTGGAACGATTCAACAGGAAGTTCGATGTACTTGGCGCTTACGGTATCAGCGCCAGTACTTGGACCGCTGCTACTATACAACGCGAAGGAGCGATACTATCCTAGGAGATTTTACAACCATATCACAAACAATATGCACCTTACAGAACAATACTTCCGATAAGCACAAAAATCTGACACTTACGATGCTATGTTACGATCATTTACGTTGTGATTGGGTGGCACATACTTTTAATCACGCATCCGAGTCGTTGCTATCAGCTGCACACTAGAACATAGGGCTAGCACGTTCAGGGAGCACTAGGCCGGATCTGTGAGAGTGTAAAGGCGAAAATTGATAGCCTGACTGATTGTTCCAGTGAGGGAGCTTCTTCGTTCTTCTTTTTCATTTAGACTCATACGATTCTTGATTTCCTACTGCCTCCACAGCTCTAGTCATCATTGATGATCAACCGTTGGCAGCCGCGTGCCAAGGAAGCAAGTTCCGGTGGTTGTTTGCCGAGAGAGCCATTCATATTGGCTGCCTCGGCTAGATAAATGGAATCTTCTCTCAGGAACAACCGATGCCCCAGCTTCCGCAGTTCTCGCAATGAATCAAGTCAATGCACCCCAGCTTCCGCCAGTACCGATTTGGCTGTGTGTGCTCCATCTATGGCAGTTTCTGTCGTTCGACTGACTCAAAGAATTGTTCTTCCGGCCATCCCGAATAACTGATGACCCCAAGCCCAGATTTCTCGGCCACCTCTCTTGGCAGCGATGAAGGTTTTAAAGAATGGCTGCTGCCTCTCCTGGTGGTTTGTTCTTGTGTGCACTGGGTAGCCAAAGTCTGTGACAATGCAGCTTCAGTTTATCGTGGGCTCTTTGCTTCTCTTTGGTTCTGCTTTGGCGGCCCCAGCTCCGCCAGCAGATGCAAGATCCCATCCCAGCATTGATTCTCTGGGTACCCTTCAAGCTCTGAAGTATAACAACTTGGGCCCAGGAAACAATGGCACCGCCGCAGTCTTGGTCTACGACCGACTGCCATACCTCAGTGCAGAATCTCGGTGTGCATCCATTGGCGAAGCCCTCTATCCGCTACAGGATGTATCCCACGCCAACGCCACAGAGATAGGGTACCAGCTTGACTATCTGGTTTACACGAAGGATGTGGAGGCGAATAGCTCCTTTTGGATAGCCAAAGACTCGCCCGATGGCTGTCAGGCATACTCTCAAAGCCGTAAGCAATTTATTTCCGCTCCATGTGATCGACAACTGCCTGCCCTTTGCACCTCCAGCGTGCCTCCTACTACCGACAAGGACAGGGAAGCCGTGAACAAGTCAAAGATCTCTATCTCATTCGACGACTACCATATGACTGGCTATCGTGATGGGCGCTCGTTTCGATTCCTAGGCATTCCCTTCGCAGACCCGCCAGTCAGGGACCTGCGATTCGCACCCCCACGCCCTTACTCAGGTCCCAAGAAGATTGACGCGACTGAAATGGCGGACTCATGCATTCAATCAGTTTCGGGTTTCGGTACCCTCGACAATGGCGGTATCTCGGAAGACTGTCTGTACCTGAACGTCTATTCTCCAGTCCTGCCCTCTTCACACGACAGAAAGTCCACCCGCAAGCCTGTCGCGGTATACTTTTACGGCGGTGCGTTCACTAGTGGAACCGCGTCAATGGTCGACTACGATGGAGGAAATTTCGCTAGTCGTAACGATGTTGTTGTTGTGACCGTCAACTACCGAGTCGGTGCTCTAGGGTGGCTGACCACGGGCAACCTCACCACGGGCAATTACGGCACACGCGACCAAATCCTCGCATTGAAGTGGGTCAACAAGTACATCGAAGCATTTGGTGGAGATCCAAACCATGTCACAATCTTTGGCCAATCCGCCGGAGGTCAGAGTGTTATTGCGCTGCTCTCTTCGACTGCAGCCCAGGGCCTATTCTCCGGTGCCATTGTGCAGTCCGCCCCGGTTGACCTTCCCTGGTTCACACGCGAGGTGTATACCAAGATCGTTACTCCCAACATCGCGGGGGCTGTCGGCTGCAACGGCACCACATCAGAAACCGCCCTCATCTCCTGCCTGAGATCGGTTCCGGCAACCCGGTATCTCGACAACACTACAGAGTTCGAAGCTGCCATGACAGCCTCCACCAAGACTATCGCCAGCGATTGGCTGCATTCATCTGAGATCCTCGCATCAATCGAGCCCCTGATGCCCATAGTAGACGACACCGGCAGTGGCATCATTGACGACCAGTTCTACCGTCTTCTCGCCTCGAACAGGCTACCCAACCGCGTCCCCACCATGTTCACAACAGTCACCACCGAGGCCGCTCTCTACGTTGATCAATACGTCTCGAACCTCGGGACAAGCGAAGCAGCTCTCGAGCTCGTCTACAGCTACGCCTACCCCACCTCCCTCATCAAATCCCTCATCGCCACCGACGCCTTTCCCCTAAACACCTCAGACCCCGACAGCGTCCGGAACACCGTCGCCGACGCCCTCACCCACAGCGAATGGAGCTGCCCACAAGCCTACCTCCTCCGCCACGGCGGCCGCCACACTTTCCCACACCTCTGGGAAGTCGAAGTCCGACACGGCCACGTCCAAACCACCGTAGATGTCCCGAGCATCTGCTCCCCCAACACCGATTTCAACGCCACATGCCACTCCGCAGATGTGCTTCCCGCCTGGGGCACTCTCAACAGCAAGACAAAGAATGTCTCCCCATACTACAACAAGCGGGACATCCTGCATTCCCGCCTCATGAACGACATCTTCGGTTCCTTCTTCCGCACCCGCAATCCCAACCCCGATCTGGAGATGCTGAAGCTTCGTGGTCCCGCCTATGCATCGACTTACCAGATCTTTGGTCCTCGTGGATACTACATGCCTGAGTATGAAATCGCGGAGCGAAATGTGAGTGTTCTCGGCATGCCGCCGTCGATTGTGAAGAATCCGGGTGTTACGGAGAAGTGTGCTGTGTTTGAAGACTTTGGGTTCAGCTTCCAGAGGGCTAATCTTACTGTCTGAGTGTGGGGGATGGAGAGTATTATATGATACGGATATATCATATTCTGACGTCTGGAAGCGGAAGTCAGCACTATGTATATAGCGGTAGAAGCATCATGCTGGAGTCGAGGAAAATGAATGTAAATCTAGTATAGTAATCTGGAAGAGCCTAACATTGATAAAATTCATTGCATTGACTCAATAAGCAAGTAAAAAAGGTGGAGATGTACTCAGTTCTAGGATGATTAAGCGGGATCGAACTCAAATAGACTCGTACTTTGCTTTCTCGCAACCCCCATCTACCTACCAATCAAACGACCACTAGTGACTACTTTGGTAAAAGAAAACAATCTGAATTATCTGATATTCGTAATATAGTAAGTAGTGTATACTAACGAGGTAAAAGAGAAAAGATGACCCCTGGAATCAAATAAGGTAGAATAAAACAACAGAGAGAATGGTGAGAGACGGCGAAAGAAACAGCAGAACTCCGTCTAACTCTCTAAAAAAAATACTCGTATCGTCGTTAATCGTAACATAGCCGACCGCCATCGGGTCCGTCAGTTCATCATATCATATCATATCGTAGCACGTAGCATTATCATCAAATGTGGGGTATTGGCCATTCAGGAAACCGCCCAACCAAGTAAAACGCCGGTCATTCATGTATTCCATACTCCGCTTCGTTCTTGCTGTCGTCAACAATGGCTCTGCGCGGTGTCATTCTTTAGTCTTTGTAGCGTAGTAGTACTGTGGTCTGGGGGAACGTGTATTCATTAGGTGGGTAATATTCTTTGTTGTCGTGCTTAGAGGTGTGATTCTGAGTAGGAGTGATCATTCTTGTTGACAGATGTGAAAAGAAAAGGTGGTTGGGATTGTTCACCGGTCGTACATGGTGGACCGTCGGCTTCGTGGAGGATATTCCATGTCCGGCATTCCTACGGGGATTCCTCGGGCTGGCGATGGCTGTACCGGATTGGCCCATCTCTGAGGCCGAGATCCGCCTGAGGGGTAGCGGGAACGCTCCGGAGTTGCCGAGTTACTGAAACCAGAGGCGTTGGGGTTGACGTGAGGTCCTCTGTAACTCCGTCGGCCGTCATCGCCCGCACGCATGTCGACGTCGGGTGGGGGAGGCGGTCGGATTGGATAGCTGCCATTCCTATTCATGTATCGAGGGTGCACGTGCGTATATACCGGTACTTCATGATTGACGGGGACAGCTGCGGGATCGCTAAACACGTGGTCGCGGAATGTTGGCCTTGGAGTCCGGGGAGGGCGGACCGGCTCCTCGGCATATATTCTCGATGAGCGTGCCCGACGGGGACCATCGGAGTCGTAGGGTCTGGCCGAGCTGGCATTGTACATGTCCCGGTGCATGTATCGTTGCTGATCATCCGGGGAGAATGCCCGTTCGGGTCTTCTGGCGTAGGATTCATGCGAATGGCGGCGAGCGTGAGAATGGTGAGGAGTGTCTGGACGCAGATGACGATGGTGTCGATTAGCGCTGGGAGACGCGCGGCGTACTGCACCCCCAGAATCCTCGGATGATGCATCGGATGCACTGTTCCCAGGCAATGTATTTGGACTGACAGGCCGGGAATACGCCGGAGTGCGATCACGACCTCTTGGTTTGGGAACAGACTTGGTCCACATGGGAGGTGAAGGAGCTCGGCGCGGCGCCTCAACGTCTGGCGCACGGGGGAAGTATGTTGACTGAACCCGACGGGTGGCGGACGGTGGGTACTCGCCGCTGCGACGCCTCTGGTGCCTACTGGGAGGGGAAGGTTCCTCTGGGACTAGGTGAGGGCGATGTGTTGACGACCGACGCCGTGGAGGGAGGCTGGTCTCTTCCCTGGTGAGTGGTATGTCTTTGTTGGAGAAGTGAGAATGGTAGGTGCCAAAGCTCGGTGGAGATGCACGCAAGATGTTTCTCTTGATGTAATCGAGTTCGAAGCGTCGACTAACCGACTCGTGCCATTCTACCATTTCCGGGTCTGGTCTGTCTGGAAAAGCCTCCCGCGGAATTTGTTTGGGAAAGAACTCTCCGCTCGGAGTTTCAATGTCCCACAAATCGACCGCATTCTGAAGGTACCGGCAATGCTCGTCCGGATCGAGAAGGAGCTGAATGGTCTGCCATCGCACAAAGCCATTCGGCTGAAGAGCTGGAATGGCGGGGGGTTTATAAGGATCGGAGGTAGGCTGAATACTATGAAAGCATCCCAGGCGTTGGTAGATGAAGGAAAGCGCGGACGGTTTGGTCTGGAGAAAGAGGACGTCGTAGTTGCCGCCCACCTTGCGATAAAAAGCTGCCAGTCGTTCTGGAGTGAGGTCGGCGGTAGCGTAGTCGTCGAAGGATGTCTTCGCACGCGAACAATGGGAGATAAGCTTGGATTCATAGTGCGCAGCAACTCAGGAGAAGCTCCCCCTCCCCCATTTGCGACTTACGATGATGCGGGCAATTCCCAGGCACAGCTGTTCCAGCAGCGGGGCCGGACTCTTATCGGCATTGATCAACACTCCCCAGTAACTCGGGCCCTGATGATCATGGGCGGAAAACATGGCCGAGCTAGAATGGGGCCCGGTGTAGAGGCATTAGACGGCAGTGAGGACAGCGGGGACATCAATGGGGGGGAGAATTGGGGGGCACGAGGAAGTTGAAGAAGGTGTGGATTGAGTAACGAGGCTGGGAATGCGGTTGTTAGTTTTGGTGAGGTGCAGCACTGCACCTGCACCTTGTGCCGCAGCAGCTCTTCATGCCATTCAAGGCATAGTGAAGACGCGTGATCGCGGGCGGTTAGTGGCTTGTCAAGCGCAAGGCTTTGGCCTGGCGGTCAGGCACCCATCCAGCACGGGCTCCACTGCGGGGGAGCCCAAAGGATGTCAACTCGTTTGCTGGCACCGTCAACACGCCAACTCAATCCGCCTCATCTGTTCCCCTTCGTGTTATTGGCGTCGGAGCATGCTGGCGCTGTATGCGACAGAAAGCCAAATGGGGCCCCTGCACGAGGCCGCTTTTGGGTACCTGAAGGTTTTGAAGGTCTGACTTCCGGTCTGCCCTCCTCATCCAAAAATTCACTCGCCATTGTGGGAATCACCTGATGGTGGGTTGGGTTGGAGGGGTTGCCCCCCCTTGAGAAAGACTATCTCTTACTGCTCTTTGACTACAGATCCCAGATGGACTCGATCTACTGGCTCCGTTACATTCTGAGGACCCCCTATCCCTAATACAGCTGGCTTGATCCAAACGACAGAGCTCAATACCATTTTAACCTGTTGGCCTCGGATGAGGTACATGATCTAGATTAGCATCATTCGTGTCCACAAGTTCGAGCCCACATTGGAATGACATGACACGACCCAACCCTCATTTGAGCTGATCAACAAACGCTAATGGGCGAAGGCATATGCTCCCATCCTCCAATAATCCCGTGTCGGGTTATCTTTGAGAGTGCTACAGGAAGACTGCCGAGGACTGCTGAAAAAGATGTCTGATGGCATGTGCATAAGTTTGGCTGTATTCTCTTGTCTCAAATTTACGAAGAGAATTTTATCATCTCTCTGAAATGAAATGAGGAGAAGCATGCACGTATACAACGATGCCACCAAAGACATCTCTTCCCAAAGGGTATGGTCCGGGCAGCCGAGCCTTATGGAGCAAAGACCAGCTCCTGCGCCACCTGCTCGTTGCGCAGGCTCCGCTGGTGCCAGGTCCGGCTGGATCGTAGGCGAGGCCCTCGCCACAAGCCGCTGGAATTACTTACACTATCACCAGGGCTCATCTTCGGATGATGGTCTCCGCCAGCCACCCCGAGTGATACCTCGAGTCTCTCAGAAGCTAGGTCTTCACACACGCGAATGTCCTTTCGGTACGAGCCGATTACCATGCTGTATATCGCAAACACACGTTATGATACACAGAAGAGTAAGAATACTCTCTATATGTTTCCGCTAGATCTGTCAACGTGTTTGGTGGCAATACCTGGTTATCTTTGGAGGTAGTCAGGCGTCAAGGCTACTGATATCTTCTCCTAAACAACCAGATGTGGTGAAAGATCTCGTCGTGATAACTGCAATGAAGCGGAGCACAATTACATGCATCAGTACGTGCTGTAGCAAGGATGAGTGTGACTGCATAGGGTGCAGTCCAGTAGATCCAGCTTCTTTCACCCTCCATGATGAACACAGTTCTTGCTGAAACACCGATTCGAGCTGATGCCTGCCTTATGCCGTACGGGAGTAAGGCGCCCGTGAAACAAGGGTTAGGCTATCTAATGCCAGGTGGCCCAACTAGTTTCGCAGTGAGTAAGCTCAATTCTGATCATTGAGTTCCAGCCAATGGAATCAACATAGCTGCCAGCCACTCGTCCCTCACGGCAACCCCACGAAGGACAGACAGGGTAATGTTGAAACTGCTTGTCCCCTTACTGGACTCTTGATTCCCATTGCAGAACCTATTAATAGACAGTAGACAAGCCTTTGGCTTGGCTAATGGTGGGTGGGGCGTTTTCTCTCCTGGCCGCGCTTGCCAGTATGTGTGTATACTTGTGCACATGGCCTATGTGAGTCAAATCATGCATGCACATGAGGATGTCGCATGAGCTCCAAGAAGATTCAAACATAGATGCTGTAAGTGTACTTTATTGCTATCCTGAAATGTCCTTGATAAGCATGGCTTATCAAACCAGTTCATGGTCCCCAGTGTTCAGACGCGAAATTGGAGGTACTGAATAGGAACAAGTCGAAGTATCCGTCCACGCCTGTAAATCTTGTTCTTCGACCCTGGAGTTTTTTCATGAAAGGCCTCCTGAATCAATACCTGAAGAGCCAGATCAGATCGCAGAACATTTGCGAGTCGGACAGTCGAAGAATGTGAGTAAAATCAAGGTTTGGAGAAATTCGAGGAATAATTTACAGCATTCTCTCAAAGTACCGGGACAACCTTAAATATTGAGGGACATACTTTGGCCTCGTTGGCCTAGCCTGGGAAAACTGCTGCGACGCGGAAGCGGTTGGACTTTGGGAGAATTGTTTGTTGATAGGCATCGAAATACCGGGTCGCCATGCTTGTTGCTCGTGCCTGACCAGGTCAAGCCGACCGGCATGACCACGTACCTTAATCAATCGAACCGTGGGCCGAAGATGCTCGTTTTATTGGGTGCAGGACCAGACCTGTCAGATTCCGGTGGTTGTGATTGGGCGGCGTGCTGCCGATCCAGATTCCGCGCCGACCCTGGCCCGGGCCCGTCATTCCCGCCGAGCTGTTTGGAATTCACGCACCTCTACGGCAGCATTGCAACGAGTCCAGCATCCGATGCTGCTGGTATTCAGCAATAATGCCCTCGATCGGCCCTGATCCATCCTGGCTTGAGCTTTTGTTATTTTTCTTAATCCCTGTTATACCCGCGTTTGCGCTCCCTGTTGACGTCTCTCGTTCTATGGTCGTTCGGGAGCTCACAACTAGTCCATTTTGTGAAGCCTTCAATTGTTAGACTGGTTCAATCTCTACTTCACTCTCTTTCGCTGGCGCTCCAGCCGTAAGCGAAAGCGTACGTTACCGCTCATATTTTGGTTGACTGTGTCAACGTAGCTTTGTTGATATCCTTCAAATTTACTATCCTTGACGCCTCCAAGCTCCAGGCTGAGCCATCGTACGGCCCTTCAATCGACGGCACGGACACCTTATTTATTCTGAAACCAGTGAATTGCGGCACCCCATGTCTGGCAACTAGTGGAGCAGCGTGATCATGGCACTTGTCCGGGACCCGGCGTTCTGGAAACGCTTCTCTGCCGCTATGCACCTCGACGAAGAAGCGAAGACGGAAACAGGACCAAAGAAACCTACCATCTGGACGTATGTCAGGGCCCCTCGTGTGACATTATAGTTCACCCGGCTAACTATCAATGAAAATCGGCAGAGATCATTGGATTGAGGCCCAACGCCAGAAAAGAAGGCGGACTTTCATCTGTGGCATCTTGATCTTTCTCATAGTAGCGATAATTGTTGCGGCCATTGTTGTCGTCATCTTGTGGCTGAAATCGAAGAACTGGCTCAAGCCTGAAACAGAAGCAGTGCCGATGTGAGACAAAAGTGTTGACTTCATTGGCCCATACAGATCAACAACGAATATCTTGTGGCTCACTGGTGTTTGAGTGCAACATTGGTCGCGATATCATCAATGGAAGGCGGAAGTACGAGTTCTTCAACGTTACTGAAGGTTCGATTCTCTCAAGGAAGGAAACTGTGCTGGGGCCATCTCATACCATCTCAGCTGAAAGTGAAAGGCGGAGATTTTGGAAATCGAGGTTGGGGAAGCGGAAATGTGGAAAGACAGGGAATTCTGTGAATACGACATCTGGGCTGGATATGGACGAGCAGGTCTCATCTGTAAAATTAGTCTCATCATACGGCGTTCAAGGTTGGCTTTCGGAGAAAAATACCCGGCATATGCTCGCGGACATTCCGGCATCTACTAGGCGTGGCTGAGTTTATAATGATCAAACATGATGGACTTCACGTTGACTCGAATCTCCTTGGAAGACGCTGGGTAGTCCTTGCTATGGTACCAAATAATGAAACGAGTGGACTCCCTGAGGCACAGAATATCTTAGCACATTGTTAAACCATCAACCTTCGGCAGTGTTGGGAGCCGACTGATCCGACTTGAACTTATTGAGCGAGACAAGCGGAGCGCTTACTAGACTAATGGCAAGTGTCGAGTAGCAGATGACTAGACGAGACTAGGAGATAAGAAGTTTGTGTAGGAGCAGTCTAGTCTTCGTTTATTACTTGAATAATACTAGGAAGCTTGTTATCCGCATGGACCTGCCGAATGCGGCAACACAAGCGCCGGCAGCCGCTTCTGTATCAGTCACGTGTTGTATCTGGCATTGTCATCCAGGAAGCTCTTGCATTGAATAACTATCCTCAGTGAATTGCGACAGGCCTAAGTTAACAGCGTGAGTAATGAACAGGTGCCAGGTGTATCTAGACATGACTGTCATAGCTTATCGTGATGCATTGGAAGCTCGAACAGCTCAGCGGACGCCGTACCGGAAGCGAACAAGTCAGCTTGGACAGAGAGCGCTTATCAGCGGGTCTAGCTTATCGGGCTTCTCCGCACGTGTGGTGCTTCCCCCGCAATAAAAGGAAGGCGCCCCCCTGCGTTGTGACGAATCTCTTTTGCTGCGCGAAACGTTGCTCTCCTCCTCTCTGTCTCTCTCTGTCCTCCCTCCCCCTGGGGCTTCTGCACAGACTCCTAAGGAGGTGACACACGATGCTTCCCCCCTTTGATTACTTTACGTACCGTCGCATCCGGTAGGTTACCCCGATGCCTCCACGCAGCAACCCAAGCAGTCCTACATAACGCCCATGCAACTCGGCCGACGGCTCACTGATCATTTACAGGGACCTCAAGAGAAGGGAGCGGGCGGCTCGATTTGCGTCGCTATCGCCAGACTACCATGCGCCCTTCTCGGCTATCGACAGAGCTATCATCAACAAGCCTATCCAGGATTTGGTGTATGAGGTCCAGAATGACTCCCTGGCACCTTTAGATGTCCTGCGCACATACGGCAAGGTTGCAGTCAAGGCTCACGAGAAGACAAATTGCGTGACTGAGCTTCTATTGCCTGAGGCAGAATCATGGGCCCAGTCCGAAGTAAACCTCAAGGGTCCCCTGGCGGGTGTGCCCATCTCTCTGAAAGACTCGGTGCAAATCAAGGGCTTCGATATTACTCTTGGCTATACCAAGTTTGCGTGTAAACCGTATAAGGAGGATGGACCAATGGCAAAGCTGTTAAAGGATGCTGGTACGTGGCCTAAACTACGGAACGTCGCAAAAAGTATACCTTCGCTAATGATGAACCCCCTCAGGTGCCGTCCCATATGCGAAAACGGCACTGCCCGTGACGCTTCTGTCGTTCGAATCAGCAAACGCTCTCTGGGGTCATTGCCTTAATCCACACGTCCCTGAATACTCCCCTGGAGGCTCGACGGGTGGTGAAGGTGCTCTGCTGGCTCTTGGTGGTCGTATCGGTATCGGGTCTGATGTCGCTGGCTCAGTTCGCGTTCCCGCGGCTTGGAGCGGCATCTACTCCCTCCGCTGTAGTACTGGCCGTTGGCCCAAGGTTGGAGTCAACACCAGCATGGCTGGCCAGGAAGGTGTTGCCAGTGTCTTCAGCCCGATGGCCCGTACTTTGAACGATCTCACCTATTTTACTAAAGCTATTGTCGGAATGAAGCCTTGGAACTATGACCATACCGTCCATCCTATCTCCTGGAGAGAAGACGAGGAACTCGAAGCGCAAAACAAAACGCTGAGGATCGGCCTCATGAGCAACGACGGTGAGTATCAAGAGTGGAGACGTAAAGGATGCTGCTGAGCGTTGCTGACCACATGCAGGTGTTGTTCCCCCAACGCCGGCCATTGAACGTGCAATTTCCACCACAGTAGCCGCCCTCACCGCCGCTGGGCACACTGTGTCTGAGATCACGCCCCCGGCTGCGGCTGACACTTTTACCGGTCTCTCCCTCGCCTCGCAGCTGCTCAACTCTGACGGGTGCGTCACTTTCAACTCGCATCTGCACAGCTTTGAGCCATCCGACCCTGGTGCGGATCAGCTGACACGAATTTGCAATCTGCCCCGTCCCCTGCGTTATCTCTACTATCTTTGGGTTCGGTACATCCGACGGGATGAGAAGTGGGCGACGCTGATCCGCGGATTTGCCCCCAAGTCTGCGGCGGAGCTTTGGAAGCTCACTGCCCAGCGGGAAGCTTTCCGGGCGACCTGGCACAGCTGGTGGGATGCCGAGACGCAGCAGTACGATTTCATTCTCTGCCCCGTCAATGCGACGCCGGCTCTGCCCCACAAAGCCATGCACGATGCTGTATCTTCATGCGGCTACACATTCCTCTGGAACCTGCTGGACTACACGGCCGGTGTCTTGCCCGTCTCGCACGTGGACGCGAAGAAGGATGCGCTGTCAGGACCGTACAAGAAGGTGCTGAAACAGCTGGGAGCCAGCAACGCGGTGGCCTACGGTGCCTGGAAACACTACGACGCGGCGAAGATGGCGGGATTGCCTACTGCGGTGCAGGTGGTGGGGCGCAGATGGCAGGAAGAGAAGGTGCTGGGATACATGGCGGCAGTTGAGGAGGCCTTGGAGCAGTACCGGGACCCGGTGACTGGGGAAGGAGGAAAATACCCATTGATTGAGCTTGACTAGGATTTATTCCCCGGAAGTGTTTCCCCAATTGGGGGATTGATGGACGAAGTATAATATTACGTCTGTTTTTTTCTAAGTAAAGTCTATAACTGAAGTACTATTATCCTCTGCATCGAGATCCGGGCCGAACCATGGACCAGGCCAGGTCACCGGGGAAGAAGCAAAGGATGGGGGGTCTGGAGAGAGCGGCGGCCGATTACATCTAGCCCATCGGTTACCCGATGAAGGAAAGGATAAGAGGATGAGATTTAGGTTATAAGTCGCCGAGTCATGGTCTGAGGTACGTCATGGGGGAGTGGTGACCCATTGTTCATGTGATGAGCAAGGCAGAGAGAGAGGGTAGGTTTAATCCTGGGACGCCACCCATCCCCAACCCAAATAAATCCCCCTAAATTCTCCAGGGGCGAAGGCACCATCGCCGCATTAACCTTAAAGTGGGATGGCGTTTGCAACAAGCTGAGCTAAGTTAAGTAAAGAACTTGGGGCCCGGCCCTTGTCTGTGACCGGCTCAGAGCATGAATATTCTGTACAGTTAAGTATGTTTATTTTGCTCTACATGAGAGAGGTACTGTACTACTTCAGTCTAGAATCTATAATTTGAATGTTTGTTTGTTTGTTTGTGTGCTTGCTTGCCTGCTGCTTTTGATCTGTCATGTCTCGAACGCTGATCTCGGAGCAAGTGATCATCAGTAAAATGGATCGGTCAATGCTGGGTCTAAGCTACTGTGCTCGGAAATAGTAGTACTGATAAGGGGAGAAACGAAAAAAAAAGAAAAAGAAAAAAGAACGAAAGAAAGGGAGTGAGTTATCTGAGGGAGTGACCTGTCAGGCCGAGCTTGCAGCGGATGGGTCCGATAATTGTGGGCAAAAAGAAAATAGGATATACTTTTGCGGTCAACCTTGGGAATTTCCCCGCATTGACCGGTGGTTGGTTGTTTGGCTGGCTAGCTGGTTTGGGGGGATCCATGGATTGTGCTTGTCAGAGAGAAAGAGAGAGAGGGTAGGGGATTTAAGGTGTCGGGGTGAGCGAGGGAGGGAGTTAAATGAGTTTATTAAGTGGTGAGTCTGGAAGGGGGAGAGATAGGGAGATGATGGCTGGTGGTGGTGTTTGGAGGGAAAAGAAAATGAGATCTGCTATTTATTGCAAAGGAATTTAATTGAAAAATAAAAGGAGAGAGATAAGCACTTCTTACGCTCACTGGAGGTGGTGTGGAGGAGGCGGAGGAGCAGAAGGAAGGACCACTGCAGAGGATGGATCGATCGGAGAGCAAGCATAACTAACTAGTAAACTAGAGCAATTAGTAGATAGTGCGAATGTTAGTCGCAGAACTAGACACGGATCTAAGTTCAGTCAAGATGGTTTAGTTTTCTGACAGGCACGAATTAATCGCTTGGACGTTTCCAATGGTTGGGGATTTTGCTTTTTTGGCTCTCTTCAGCGACGATCCGCGCCGCTTTTCCCTCGTCCTTTTTTCCTGCTCTGGCTTTTCGCGCTTCCTCTCTCTCTCTCTCTCTCTCTCTCTCTCTAATTTAATTCAACTTTCTCTCGCCCCCAGACCTCTCTCTCTCTTCTGCCTTTTATTCTCTCGGATCTTCTTCTTCCCATCCCCCCAATTTTATCCGCTCACCCAATCTCCCCCCATCCTTCCGTCATCCATTCTCGCCCCTTCTTCTTCTTCCTCTTTCTTGTCGTCCCTCCCCCTCCTCCTTTCCCCCCTCCCCGGAATATCGCTCAAGTACTCCCCTGCGTTCAATTCCTATTTAGCCTAAAGATTAGCGCCAAACGTCGGTCCGATGATTCTTCCATCGTCTCGCGTCTTGTCCGTCCCTCATTGATGCGGCCCAATCAGGCCTCTCCCGCCGTCGCCGCCGCCTCGACTACCGCTACGATCACTACTACCCCTGCTATCCTCACCACCATCCTCGTCCCCTGGTGCGCCTAAACAACCTCCCTCCTTCGCTTCAATCTCGTCCGTCTCGCCGGAACAGAATGCTACCCTGGGCGTCTACCGTGCTCAACCGTCCTCGTCGCATCCTGTGCTCTTGATCGGCAATGACCCTTAGCGGTGGAAGAAAGCGAAGCAGAAAAAGAAGAAGACAAAGCCCTCATGGCGTCTACTAAAGGTGTCGCTGCCGGCCGGAAGAAGGACGCCATTCACTTCGTCAATGCGCGCCCAGCATCGGAGACGGAGCGGATCAAAATCCAGCGGCTGGTCCGCGCCCATGTGGGCAAATGGATCTCCGACCAGACCAAAGATCGTTCGTCCGGCCCAGAATCGCCCGACAGCAATCAATCCCAGTCGTCCTCCTCGTCCCCAGATGCCACCAGTCAGTCTCCGCCACAGCGTGCAGTTCCGCCCGGTCCAGGCCTCCATTTGTTGACGCCTCCGAACGGCTCTCCGTCCCCCGCTGCTCTAACGCCTTCCGCCCTTCCCCTGACCTTCCCCTCACAACACACCCCTCCATCTCGCCGTACATCCACGGATCTTTCCACGCCTTCTCCAGAATATGGATATGCCGACTGTCCGCCCTCGGCGCAGGGGGTGGCAGGCGAGTCACAGTTCCAGTTTGATCCGGAAGAGTTCCAGCAACAGACTCTCGATGAAACACCCTATGATCAAAGCGAAACTACGAAGGGGACTACGACTTCTGATTCGTTCAGCGCACCGGCTCCCTCGTCGGCTACATCTATGGATTTTATTGAGAGCTTTGGTTGCGTCGCCGTCGATCCGTTTCATACGAACCCAATGGATCTGGCAAGAACGGAAATTGCGGCTACAGAAGAATACTGTTCGTGCTCATCTTTGTTCCTGCATTACATTCTTATTCCAGAGCGCTAACTTATGGTATCCCGTAGGTCTCTATGTCCTGTGGCCCGGCCTAACCCCCGTCTCTCCCGGTCAGGAGACGCGACCATCCAGCACCAGCTGGTTACCTCTCGCTTTGCAAGATCGCACCTTATTCACTGCCTTCGTGTTCGGTTCTCTATCTCACAAGCGCCTTCGGTGGCTCAATGGCTGGATTGCACGGGAATCCTTCCTGCCAGAGGAGCAGCGGATTTTGCAATGGTGTGAAATGGAAACCATCCAGAACGTCACGCGGGAAGTCAGTAATCCCAGTCGAGCGGTGTGCGATTCAGTAATTCTCGCTGTCATCTGCATGGCACATAATGTCGCCGAAGATCATGGACGGGGCATCCATCGGACGCCGCCATTCGATCCGCCGCTACCACGTCTGCAGTGGCTGGACGTCTATGGGGCCCTTCCGCCGAACCTGGTTCATATCAAAGGTCTGGTGCAGATGGTGCGGTTACGGGGAGGTATTGAGAACCTGACCCTCCCTGGGCTCGCTGCAACCCTGTCCTTGTATGTCTTATCTTCCCCCCCGGGAGTCTCACTTCTCATCACAACTAACAATACTTCTCTCCAATTTTAGCTCCGACATTGTAACCTGCAGCACCTTCCTCATGCCACCCGTATTCGCCTTCATTCCCCTCTTCCACGAGCGGCGAAACTTCACCCTGCAGAGAATGCTCGGCTTCACAACCGTCGATGTAGAGCGCCGATACGCTCCCCTTCGAGACATCGGCCTCACCGCCGAACTAGTAGAAGTCCTATACGCCATGCATATCTACATGAGACTCGTCGAAGAGCACATTCAAGCCCACCTTGTCAACCCCGACTACTCCCTCATTTCCGACCAACGCAACCTCACCCAATACACCCTCCTGTCCCTCCCCGCAGCCAGCCAACTCGACGGGTTTTCCGCCTACAAGCCACACGAAATCATCTACGAGGCCTGCCGACTCGCGGCCCTCATCTACGGCGTCGGCGTCGTCTTCCCCCTCCCCTACCAAAGCACTCCCCTCGGCCAACTCGCCAAACTCATCCAAAACGTCCTCCAAATCTCCGACCTCGCCTCCACCTGGAGCCACCCGCAAGCCCGCATCACCCTCTTCTGGGTCCTCGTCCTCGGCGGCATCGCCGCAGACGACCGGCCCGAACGAGCCTGGTTCGTCCACGTTCTCAGTCAAGCCGCCGCCAGCCACGGCATCAGATCCTGGGTCGACGCCCGCAAACTCCTCAGTCTGATGGTCTGGTCTGATCGTGCCTGTGACCGACCGGGTAGTGATCTCTGGGCGGAGGTGAAACTAGCCATGATTAGAATGGAGTGAATCATCCTATACTCTCTCTCTCTCTCTCTCTCTCTCTCTCTCTCTCCCACTTACACTCCATCATCCATGCCATTCTAGTTTCATCTTTCCCTTCTACATTTCATCAATTACCCCCTTCTTTTACAGGGTCTATGCCTGCTTTTTCCATTCTCTTATTCCTATATTTTAATCTTCTATTGTTATTATTATTATCACCATTATACCCCGCTCGGAAGGAAGTGTGCGGTAGATAAATATGAGTTACGAGGTTACGAAGCAGCAGCGGAAATCAGAAGCAGAAGCAGAAGAAGCAGTGTGATGAGGTAGGATAGGATGGGATGGGATGGGATGGGATGTGTTGCAGGGATAAACGGATACCTGTACCAGCTTGGTGGTGGTGGTGGTGGTTATTGTTTGTTTGTTTGCTTTTTTCCGTGTGTGCGTTGTGCGGGTTGTGTGTGTGTGTGTGTGTGCTTTATATCCAGAGTGCAGTCAGTCAGTCAGTATATTAGATCGTTGTTTGGTGTAACTACGAGTATATATACGGGTGTTTGGAAGGAAGGAAAGAGAAATTGAGGAAGGATGGGAATATAAGTATGATACTAGTTAATGAAGTAACATTATCATTTTATTTTATTTTATTCTTTTCTTTTCGTGAATGGTCGTGTCGTGGCATGTCGATCTGGAGTGGGGTGGGGTGGATTGAACAATACTGAATATAAATTTGGGAAAGGAAGAGATAGAGAGAGACAGAGACTGCTGGTTTATGCTCCTAGGCCAATATATCATCCCAACCCTTTTCAAACAATGATAATCCAATCAGCTGCTGTAACTATCTATGTGTCTTATCTACAGGGGAAGGAATGTATAGGCATGAAGTAGAACCCGCCGGGGTATATGAACCCAATCGAGCGATAAGCCTTTCTTATCCAGCAAGGCAAGTTAAGAAGACGGGCCTCCAACTGCAAAGGAAGGTCGGCGGCCCCGGATACTATTACCTAGCAGCGGTGTCGTCTCATCCGCATACCAGTCCCGAGCATTCACCCGGTCATCGTGGCCTGCCACCAGTCCACTCTCAGCGTTGGCTCCATTTGCGGCTTCTTCTTGGGCTAACTTCGCGGCGGCTAGCTTCTTTGTCTGCCATGAGACGTATGCGACCAAAGCTAAGCCAACGGGGAAGGTTATTCCTGTGAGTATCGCGTTGACGGGAATGGGATTGCGGTCGAAGACGCGGAAGACAAGTGTGTCGAGGCCTGTCTGAGCGAAGTTTCCTAATCCCGCAAGACAGATGATGAGGCCGTATACCTTGCCGAAGGTTTGGAAGCCGAAGACCTTGGAAGAGTAGTCAGAGACGGACGTATAGTAGAACGGCCGGTATATGACGAAGAGAATGATATTGGCGTAACCGGCGAGGATGCTGGGGATGCAGCCGAGGAGGCCAATGACCGTGGCTGTGATAACGAGGATACCAAGCACAACTGGGGTCCTAGCATTGTCGAGGATGGCGCCAGTAAAGGGGACGGAGATCAGGCCGCCGAGAGGGAGTAAAACGTCGAAAGTAGAATTCAACGCTTTGGCACGCTCGGACGAGTCTAGAAGATAGGTGTATTGTTGACGAATGGTGGCGACGAAGTAGTTGATTCGAAGCATTTGGAGGACGGTGAAGAGTGTGATGAGCACGAACCACGGGGTGCGAATTTGCTGCAAGGCTGAGCGGCCATGAAGGGCACCCCAGACGCCGCCAGCAGTGTGAGAGATGGTCGCAGTCTGCTCTACTTCTAGTTGTGACTGATGGTCCTGCTCGGGCGCAGGGGCATGTAGCAAGTCCTCAATTTGATTGATAACAGTCTGCCGCTGAAGACGGCGGTCGTTGCGCTGCCGTTCCCCTTCGTTACGGTCATCAATAGCTTCGTCCACCCGGTCAGTTGCCTCCGCTACGATTTGGTCTTCCGCCTGCTGGACAAGCTCTCCTGCCGTCTTGTAGGAGGTTGTGGGCATGACTGTTAGCTGAGCAGTGAGGATGAAAATTGGTACAATGAGATAGATAATGAAGAATCTCGATGTAGTGAAGGCCCCATCAGTCTTCTCGTTTACTAGCCGAAACACGAGAAAAAGTGCGCTGGAAGCGTCGAAAGCACCCGTGAGGGTGGACAGGATCAGACCAGAGTGGGTCGGGAAGGTGTTCGACAGTTGATATGATGGGACGAAGATGAAGGGGCCCCCGAGGGATAGAAAGAGGTATCCTGGTAAATAAGCATCAAAGGATAGTTTGGGGGCGAGTCCGAGTAGAAGACTGCCCACGGTCAAACAGATACTGCCGATGATGCCACACACGCGGGGGCCATGGGTGTCTAGTATGGCACCTACGGGCAAGGCTGACACATTTGTTGCAACGGCGGCTACCGTAAACATTAAGTTTAGCCTGGAAGTAGTCTGTTAGCTTCTGTGTGCCGATACAGATCGGTATGTGAGACGACGCACCGGATGTCCTGTCGATAGCATACATCTGAGCCGCTATCGAGCTCGTCCTTTGAGCACAGGTTGCGATAGACTCCTTCTTTAACGAAGATAGGCTTGATTGCCGCGAATCCAAAGACTACTCCTGCAGAGAGCAAGCAATATACAACTGCGATACATACCTGCACTTTGGAGGGTCAGAGTGTGCATTGTCTCACTCGTGAGATGGGCAACTTACAGATTCGTTTCAAGCGGCTAACCTCGAAGGCTCCCGTAGTTTCTAGACCCGCAGGTTGCTGTGGCCTCGGTGTGTCATCCTCTTCTGGTTGCTCCAAAGGTTCGGCTTCATCAGCCCGAAGGCGTCTGGGTGATGCACCTCGGTAGGGTCTATCGGGCTCATCCACGAAGGTCTCGTTCCAACCGGGTCCAGCATAAGGATTAAAGTTCAGGCGATCTCGGAAGGGGGGACGACTACTAATGTTTGATTGAAAGGATGATGACAATGAAGGCTCCGGGAGGTCATGATATCTATCTTCATCGTCCGAGTCCTCTGGCCTCGGCTGACGGCGGAATGCAGCAGGGTTCTGTTCCCAAGACTCCAGGAAGGAGATGCGATTGAGAGACATTTCTCTACTGTGCGCAATGAGAGGTTAGGCATGGCTAGAGACAGAAATTTTGCTTTTTTTCGGATGGGTTACCTCGGACAATTCCCCTACCCCGTGACTCTGGTACGCTGGGCGACCAGATATATATAGTGTGATATGTATATAGTAGCAGATATGCGTGGTATTCGCGAGGGACAAGCTATGACGATGTCTGGTTGGCTGTGGAGTCCGACCCGTTTTCGGCCCGTCGATCAAAAGAAGGAGGGGCGGAGAAGCTTCAAGAGCCGAAAGGATACGTGGAATGGGGTAGTAGATAGGGCAGATAAAGCGTGGAACGAGGATCCCTTGCTGCAGTGGAGGATCAATTGCATCTGGGCGCACAGAAAGAGTCAACGTCGGACGGTGACTGAATGCATCGCCGATCCGGGATTTCTGTGCTGCGCCGCCCAAAGAAGAAGCGGCGATGTGCTGCCAGCAATCACCTGACTGCTGCTTTCCCCGCGCCTGCTGTTTTCGGTCACGCCTCCATTCCTTCCTTTTTCTCTCGTTTGTTTGTCTCTACTTCTCGTCCCCAATTTTGAGGGGGGGATGGAAAACTTTGTTGCCCTTTGGCTTCTTGTTCCCCTGCTCATCTTATCTTCTCTGATCATCGTTGTCTCCAGTTTTCCCTTACTGCGGAATTACTACTCCTTCCTACTTTTGACTTTCCCCCGACCGATTTGTGTCCGAATATATAATGGTCTGGAAAGCTTATCAGATGTCAATTGGCTCACGTAGCTTTATGATCTACAAGCCCCCCAAGCCTTTAGACCCTCCGCAGTCTCCCTGAAGGCTGCAGCTGCGCCAAAGGTTGTATGACTACCCCATGTCATTGGTCTGAACCTCCTCCTTCGGATCTAAGTAGCGGCATATTCGTGTGCTGGGTGCTCACGGGGATCCCAGAAACCATCACACTACGGGGTTCTCTTAGCACCGCTGGATCGGTGGTGCCACCAGAGAGAGGTTCTTCATCAGGAGACTAGTGCATCTAGATCTTTCAGTCATCATACAGTACAATGGGCAATTGCATTGCTTCCTGCGCAGACAGGCCACTGGCTCGATTGGTTGACAAGTCGTTGACAAGTCACGGAACGCCTCTCAACTCGACTGATGCGCTGTCGTTTGCTTTTCCCGCCCTAGTAACTCTGTCCTGAAAATATTCCGGCCCTTCTGATTGGCAGTGGCTACCATACCACACTAGATACAAGCGGAGAAACAGTGTTCACGGACCATCCGGAGGCTGGAGCTGCGGCACACCCCTCACCTTGGTGATGCGAACAAATCCATTCGCCGGAGGGCAGCAATGCCGAAGGGGACAGTCAACGGACACAGGCCCAGGATCTGCATGAGCAACAGATAGGTTCAACAGGGGGCCTCATGTTCCCTCGCCAATGGTACCGGCAGTCACAATCTAGACCCGTCGAGTGACAGGGGTTAGGGGGACTAAGCAGTAAGCCTCTGTCGAATGGCCATTACAGGACAATGGCGATGTATCCGAGATGCTCACTAACAACCCACAAGCTGGCTAGGATGATCAATACTAAGGTCACTGTGGCTGGTTGTTGGGAGCTGGAACCCACCGGGGCCATGCACGGCTGACACCCTAAGAGTCCGTCACCTTGCAGACTTTTTTTTCCTTCCCCAAAGCTCCAAGAACATAGTTGCTGGTAGCTGAGAATTGGATGGAGCTCCTGACGAAAGGTGCAATAAAAAGTGTCCATTGCTTTCCTCGCTAGGCTAGCTTGAACCGAAACGTTCCGGCTCTGGTGGACTTCCCATTTAGCTCGTGAGGATTTTCTGCTTCGGGCAGTGATCAGAGGCGGGCGTATGTGTCCATCACCATGCGCTTCGTCGAAGAGAAAAAGTAGCGACAATTGAATCAGCGGCATCATTTCCCGAACCCTGGCTAGACTCCCTCCATATTGTATCCAGGGAAATTAAAAACGGGCGCGCTGGCTTAATTCTCGGGTGTGATGGGGAACCGTTTTGCCGGCCATGTTTTGGGTTCGGTTTGGGCCCCTGAAAGGCTGAAACCTGGAGCGACTGGCAAAAAAAGGTCGGGTCTGGTGTTCACGCTAAGGAAGAGATCGACTCGAGCCGTTCTCGTTTCTGTATAGGGTTCTTTTTCCCTTTTTCTCGCCCCTCCAATCCTTATTTGCCCTGGGGGCTCCATGGCCATCACGCCGGCGCTCCACTCCGCATGAACCATCCTCCATTGGGCATTTAACCGTTGAACATTGTTCTGCCCATCCTAATCACCGTTGCTGAGGCGGTCGCTTTTAGCTGCAGCCGAGTAGTCCAACATCGACTCGGCCTGGCTCCCCTTTCTCCTGCCTCTTCCTCTTTATCTTTCGCACATCAATGGCTGCTTCCTGCCGTTGATGCCTCTGCCCCTCCATGGCTACTGTTGCGACTGCCTGTCGAGGACCGACCTGACAACAACGTGATGAGGGGGTGGTAAGTTCTGGCGGCCCCTGGTGCGAATCTTGTTTCTTTTCTTTCTTTCCTGGCCCAGTTTGTTGGGATGCTATTTGGGCGGCATGCGGCCGCTGCTTTTCGACCAAGCTAATGCAACCGTTTACGTTCAGTCTCACCTGCCGTCAACGCCATCTCAAATGTAATTCAATTCCCCCTGCAAAAATCCGGTTTATCGGACGAGCATGGCCGGCTTTCCAGTTCAGCGCCTCTAACCGTGATATTCTAGGTGACAAGACGGGGTCCTCGTGCTTGCGATGCCAGCGATCGGGACGACAGTGTATCCCGGCTCCGACGAAGACGGAAGAGGTCACTTTCCGACACGGGCAAAATCCGTCGCTACGTCCAAAGGGCCCTCCCCGTTACGGAGAAAGCGACCTCGCGTTTCCTCCCGATCAGATATGGGTTGGGATGCCTGCGCAGGGTTGGTAGCCTCTGCAAGAACGAAGGTTTGAGACTTGCACTGATGACGGCTCCGTAGTCTCCTTCGAGGACGAAACAGATCGTACAGCGGCCGACTATCATGTTCTCCCGGTGAATCCCCCACCAGCGTCCCGGAAAGACGCAGTCAAGCGTCGATCTCTAGCTTCTGTGGCAACTCCCACATCATCGCATGCCCTCCAGCCTGTACTGTCCCCAAGTGACACCACTCCCACCACAGCCTTTCCGCCACAGCGCCTGGACCCAGTCAATCTACCTCTCGCATTTGATGAGCTCCGCGATCGACAGAAAGTCGCAAGTTTCAATGAGGCGTTCCTCCTTCGGCACTTCCGAAAAACGCTCGGCCCATGGGTGCTTTACCCCATTCTTCGATCACGATACGGTTGGATTAAGGCTAATCGTCGCTTTCTAGTTGGATGTTTGCGATCATGAGAGACATTTCTCTTTGGATGTGGTGGAACGGGCACCTACGAATCCCCTTCTACTCTACGCATGTTTGGCTATAGCAGCCCGTCATCTCTCCCATACAAATCATAACATTCCCCCGAATACCGCAGATGGATATCATGAGCGGTGCATCGGGATACTCTTGCCTGTTCTGGAAAACAAAGAGATTGAGATCAGTATTGATATCCTTCTTGCCTCTACCGTGATATTGCGCTTTTTCGAGCAAATTTCCTGTGCGTCCCCGTTGGTAAAGCCCTCTAATCCGATTAAGGCCTTCTAATACTTTGAGCAGCTCACAGCCCATCGAACGACCTTCAGCGTCATCTACTAGCCGGCTCAGTCTATATAAGTTCTCAGGTCGGATGTGCTACATCAGGCGGACTCGCAGAAGCTTCATTTTGGGTTTTCGTGATGCAAGATATCCAGTTTGCCTTGGCATATCAGAAACCACTGCGGTTGACACTGAGTCCGTTCGGGGAGAGACTGTACCTCTTATGGCAGCATGACTCATCTCAGAAAGATCGAGATTGGGCGCATAGAGCCATTTGGCTTCTTGCAGAGACGATCAATCACTGCTATGGGGTGCATGCATCGCTGGAGATGGAAGTGCTGAGTCGGAGTACTTTGAAACAAAGGATCCATACTTGGGACTTGGAAAAGCCGGATATTTTTCGACCACTGCATTACTCCGCTGCAGACCCAAGAATTGGCAGACCTTTTCCCGTGGTCTGGTTTACAAGGTCACTCCATGGTATGTACCCTTGGGAGTATCAGTGATCGGCCGTTGACGTTCCGTTTAGCGATCGCAGTACAACATATATGTATGGCGAAAGCTTTGATCCTACAACAGGAACTCAGGACTCTTTATTCGACGCCTAGTCCACAAGATATCCAGATGACCGAGGTACGCTGCCACAGACTGCAACTTTCAAAGGAAAGCCTAATTGGTGCCGTTCAGGGAAACATGACGCGAAGTCTGAGCATTTTGTTCGGAATTGCACTGTCGGTTGATGACGAGATATCTCTGCGCGTCATGGCATGCCACGCACTGTGCGCCTGTAAGTAATAATTTCTGCCCTGTCTGTGGCCCACCTGCTGGATACGGAAGCCCACTAACTGATCGATTGATCCACCAGGCGGCTCCTGGATTCGTGACCCTCTAGCGCAGACATGTTTGCTGGATCTTCTTCGGAGGACCGAAGCTGAGAATGGCTGGCCATGGTCATACATGGTCCAGAAGCTAACCCAAGAGTGGCGCTTGACCGTCAGGTAAAAGCTGTTGATCAGCTGACTCAGATTATTTTGTGCTGTTTCTCAACCGCGTCATGATGATCATTCACTTTTTAGCAACCGACAAGTGTTTGAACACCACCAATTCTCCAGAGGTCTACCAAACTTGACCGCTGCTTCTTGCTTTGTCCGATGGCTCGCTACGAATTATGATCAGCAAGTGGGGAATGGTCCAGCCAGTGCCCGAGTACGCCGGCTTGCAGACATTGGCAGTCTGGGACGTCGACCCGCAAGACAGCTGTTTCCTCGCTAATGCAGCCTCGGCCGAATGGAGTCGGCTCCTTTCGCACTTTATCACAATAGCGTGTGGGACCGGGGAGGAGGCTGTTGGGATTCTACCTCGCTTATTCGCCGTGGCGTGCTGAGTGAGTGGGTCTTAGGATTATACCCACTAACTTGTGATAAGCCTCTTGTATGGGTACTGCACGCGAACGGGTTGTTAATTTACCAGCATGGAAGTCTGATCCTCGATTCTGGAGCACGATACGAGGAACATATATCCGAGCAGACCATCGGACAAACAAAAGTACTAGCTTAGTTTATGACA